AAATTTTCTTCCTTTCGTTTGCCTATACTTTCTCAATGTTTCTCAACAAATATGTATCCGTGTTCTAATGTGTAAAACATACATGCCACAATAACCAAAGGTTAGATGTAGCCCAAGCCTCAGAAAATGCAGGGAAAATCACTCACGGTTAATGATTCCCAAGCTGGGATTCCCCAAACCCTCGCCGTCAAAACTCTTAAGAAAAATGATCTAGGGGCGCCTGGGTGGCTCAGTGGGTTGAGCCTCTGCCTTCGGCTCAGGTCATGGTCCCAGGGTCCTGGGATCGATCCCCGAATCGGGCTCTCTGCTCCGCAGGGAGCCTGCTTCTCCCTCTCTGCCTGCCTCTCTGCCTGCTTGTGATCTGTCAAATAAATAAATAAAATATTTTTAAAAAATGATCTAAAGGTGACCCTTGAATAACACAGGTTTGAATTGTGCGGGTCCGCTTGCATGCGTATTTTTTTACAGGACAATACTGTAAATGTATCTGTAAATGTAAATGTAAGGCTACAGGTAGATACGTTTTGGGGAAATCAGGAGTTATATGCAGATTGTCGACAGCACGGAGGTCAGCGCCCCAACCCCTCTGTTGTTCAAGGGTCAACAGTATTTGCCTGTGTTATAGCCACGTACTCATCATCACAGACAGAGGCTCTCCTACCTAACAAGCCAAATTCCCTATTTTCCTGCCCTGTTGATGGTTTTTACTGCTTCTTCACAAAACGTGTATTTAGATTTTTTCTAAAATCTAAATTGGAGTGAGGCACCCAGTTTGCTGGACAAGGCTTTCACTTGGTGGCGTCCTCGGGGAAAAGCTCTAGAAAGCAAGTCTGAAGACGACCACGGCGAGATGAGGCTCTTTCCTCCTGCCACCTCCAAAACACATTTGTGCTTGTGGTGAACTCAGTCAGTGAGGTCCCAGAAGGCTGGGGTGTCAGTGGGGCCCAAGAGCGCCTCCAAGTCATCGCACAACCAAAGGATCTAGTGTGTTCCATTTCCCCCTGGAAAATGAGGACCAATGATGCCTGCCATGACCACACTGCTCACTCTAGAATATTCTGTAAGAGAAGCAGTGTGGGGGCCACTGGGATGTGCTTTAGCCCCCCAGGTCCCAGGGCACTTTCAGCCCTGCCACACAGGAGCTCAGTGGCATGGGCCTGTCTCCTTTTCTGTAAGGCCATTCCCACCCGGCGGAGTGGCCACAGAGCTGACGCCAGGCCAGGCCACCTTGGCTCTCTCCCTTTCACCGCTGCACACATCTATCAATATTCCAATTCTCTCCATAGTTAGATACGACTCTTTCGGTTCAGAATTGATCTAAGCCCATTGAGTATCTATTAATACTTCCTACTAGGGTGCCTGGGTGGCTCAGTCGGTTAGGCGTCTGCCTCCGGCTCCGGTCATGATCCCAGGATCCTGGGATCGAGCCCCATACTGGGGCTCCCTGCTGTTCCCCCTGCTTATGCTCTCTCTCTGTCAAATATATACATGAAATCTTAAAAAAAAAAAAAAAAGGAAAGAAAAGAAAAGGAAAGGAAAGGAAAAGAAATGAAATGATATACTTCCTTCTGGCCCAACTCCTCAACAGCCACCAAACTGCAATACCACCTCCTCTCCCTGCGGCCTCCCCAAAAAGCAGGTTGGCCGGGGGGCGGAGGGCGCCGAAGCAGACTCTGAGGCCCCGCCTACTCTCCTCCATCATTGGCCCCTCTCAGAGCTCCAACACCCGCTTGGGTTCTAGTACTTCCTATACTGTTCCCATGGTTCCACACAGTAAACTTGACTATAAACTGATTTATTAAGCATTCTTCATCCAGAGTACCAAACACTTGCCCAGGAGGAGTCAGGCCTGCCGTGTTTGCTGAATGAGTAAGTTTATTACTTTCCATATAAAACAGCACTTCCTTTTAATCGCTCTAAAATTATACTCTGCAAGTTTCAAAGGTTGTCCCTTTGTCTATTGTGAACAAATCACTCTCGTCTTCACCACACTCGTCTTGATTTTGTGCTGGAGCGTTTTCCACTTCCGCCTCCCCCTTGCTCAGCCCCAGAGCTCTGAACCCTCAGGCCCCTGGCCCAGCCCCTCCAGGGAAGACACGGCTACCCTGTCGCCCTGCCATTCTGAGAAGCTCCCCTCCCACTCCCCACCCATGAACTCTTTAGAACTTCATGCGCACAAAACAGGACACAGGCTCCAGTCCTCGTGTTGACCCACAGCACTGTCTGGTCTTTGTGGCCCCTGTAGCACATGGAGAATGGAGAATTCTAGACTGTGCCCTATTCACATCCACCCCCAAGACCCAGGCCTGCAAGACTGTTGCACCCAGAAACTCCATGGTCCCCTCAAATGCAACAGGTCTCCCAGAAGGCCACCATCAACCACCAGAAGGAAGTTCCTGCCCTCCCATTCATACATGGTCTAGGATGGTGTATCCTGGTGACCGCACAACCCATCATCAAGGGAAGTGGGGCTCCGGGCTAGAACAACACCAGGATGGCTCTCAGGGCAACACAGGGGTCTGCCCTGGCAGGTCAATCCACCCCTGCTCAGTCCACGGAGGTCCTCTGGGGTCTCCAAGCCTCCACCTGGCTCTAATCCCTTGGTCTCCCAGGGGCGCTCCCTTACATGCCCCCCTGACCTTTGGGGCATTCCTATAGGTCAGCTCCCCGACACAGCCCTGCCTGTGATTTCCTACCTCCTCAGGTTGTCATTCTTTCCCCCTACTGTTTGCTTGTCCAAAACCTCATCAGTCCTCACAGAATACCCAGACGAGAGTGCCAATTAGAAAGAAAATTACAGATGTCACCCGGGGTCCCTGAGCCTTCATCTGAACCCCTCCCCGAAGACCCAGAATACAAACAGGGGGTGGGGGGCGTTGCAGAGGGCTGAGGTCCTCCAGTGCAGGGACGGGGCAGTTCAAACCTTCTGTCAAAGGGGGACATCATATTAATTATTTGCTGTGTGGCCGCAGGTATGTCACTCACCCTCTCTGAACCTCAATCTCCTGTCTGCCTACATCTCCTTACACAGTGTGAGCTACCTGCTGTGAAATGAGTTTGTGAAAAGCAGAGCCCTCTGTGGGTAGGAGGTGGGGGACCCTCTGGGTACCATTAGACCTTCTGGAGTCTTCTAGAATGGCCCTACTTGCCTGACCTCTCCACTCCTGATAGATGCTTTCTGACTCTGGCATGCTAATGGGCTCACAGGTGTCAGTGTTCTTTTTCACAAAAATACCAAGCACCTTAGGAAGAGGGGTGTCTGCTTGTACTGGTGGTTATCTCTAACTCACAGCAAGGTGCATGGTGCCAACACTCGGCTGTCTGTGGAGCCCTTCATCCTCATCATCACCAACCCCCTTCCCTCTCCCGTGACAGCCTGACCAGAGACGGGCCCGGAGTCTGCCTGGGGACAGGGACAGGCTGGACCTCCCCAAGGCTGAACCCGGCCACAGCTTCCTAGTCTTTGTATTTGACCTTAAAGCTAAATTATCTAGAATTTCTTTCTTCATGCCCTAAGTCCACATAGTTCCCCCATATCCCCTCTCGGTAGAGGAGAAGGCAGTACGTGAGGGCATGGTGGTGGGCTCAGGTGGCACCTGAGGGCCCGCCTTCATGACTGGGGTCTCAGAACTCCCTGTGTGGGTCATCTCACTGCCGCCCTGCAGGGCACCAAAACTCCCTTCCCCACCCTCCTGCCCCCTCAACCCCTTCCCCCACAACCCTATGGGGCCTTCAACTCAAGGGTCCCCTCTTCTACCGGGGACCTTGGTCTCACTCCCCTAGCACCCCTCACTTCAGCGACTGTCCTGCCCATACCTTCCCTCCAGTTTTTCCTGGTCTCCAGCGCTGGGGATGAGAAAGTCAGCTCCGAGTGAGGGAACCCACAGGAAATCAGCTTGTAACTGGTTGCATCCCAGAGAAATGGCCGTGACAGGTTCAACAAGAGGCTGTGTCTCCCCCTCAGCCTTTCAGCTGTTTCTAACCAGAAGGGTTTCCCCAGGCACCCCTGAGCTCTCCCCATGCAAGAACGAAGCTGCTGGATGCCCGGACCTTCCCTCCCCGGGCCAGGGCTGATAGCCCATACGGTGCGCCTGTGAGGTGTGGAAAGATGGGCCTTCTGAGCAGATCCAGCCCTCAGGACTGTCCCTCCAGGGGGAAGGCAGGCAGAGGCCACCATCTAGGTGAGGAAAGAGTCCCTGCTCCTCCAAGGAGAAGGCTGGAGAGTGGGAGCTGGGGAACACCAGCCCCTCTCAGCCCTGGGCCAGGGGCTTGGTGTAGGCCATCAACGGCACAACCACAGGCCACACCCCCTGCCCTGCACCCACACATCTCCAGGCACCCCCAAAGTCAGAATGAGGTCAGAGCCCAGGTGTCCAGCTCGTTGACAGCCCCCTCCCCTGCAAAGGGAGTGGGGGAACAGGAGAAGGAGCCCTGCCTGAGTCTGGGACACATGGGACCCCCAGGGAGGGTCTGCCCCGGTCCCACTCACCCTGAGTCACTGTAGCAGATGCCCAGAGCCAGAGACCCAGTGTCAGGACCCGGACCACCAGCATCTTCAGATAGGACACTGGCTGTCGGGTCTCCCCTCATCAGGAGGGACCCAGAAATGAGAGCTCCCGGGAAGGGATCGGCTATATAAAGGACTCCAGAGACACGTGCCTTGGGTGAGCAGAACGGGGAAGCCCGGGGAGGGGCAGAGAGGGCTCTGTCACTATGGGGAGATGAGGAGGGGCCACAGGGAAGGCTCTTCTTGCCCATCCTCCCCACATCCCCACCTCCCCCCACCCCCTGCCAAATAAGCAAGGGTCCTCAGCTGTCCTGAAAACTTGGAGCAGAACTGTCAAGGGGTCTTCCCTGGCACCCAGCCTCTGGCAGGCTCCTCCCTAGCCCCATTCTTGACCCAGTTGGCTATAAACCTACCCCCCAATCTGCTGGAAGGACCCCAAGGCTGGCACCTGAGCCCAGGGGCTCCCATCACAGCTAGTAGCTCTGGCCCTGACCCCTCCCTCCAGCTCTGGCTCACTCCGGGTATGCTGGCAGCTGTCCCCATTATGGCTGACATTCTGGAGCTTCTCCTTCAGCACTGTCTTCACCTTCACATGCTTGCTCTCCAGCTGGAGGCTAAAGGGCAACTCCAGCGGGACCAGGTAGTCCACCACAATGCTGCCATTCCTGAGGGGCTCAGAGAGTCAGGGGGGTCTTACAGGGTGCTCAGGCCTGGGGCATGTAAGTCCTTAGGAGGGCACCTCCAGGACCAACCACAAGTGCGCTGGTATTGGGAGGAAGGCAGAAGCAATGATTTGGGATTCCAGGAACATGATTCGCAGGAGCCACCAGCATCCCTGATTTAGTCAGCCCAGAAGGTGGGACAAGGAATGATTGACATGCGCTTGCCTTTCATCAAGCCATTACCAAACCAGGCCCTCCTGCACTCTCTTCCTCACTCACACTGACCCACTCAGGAGGCCAGGAGCCACCATCCAGACACCATGCTTCCCACAAGCCCTCATATGCATCTCCCTGCATGTCCCATGTAATCTCTCCTTCCAATCATGTTTTAAAAGGAGGGGTGGTATCTCTCCTACAGAGAAATGACCACAGAAAATAATTGGGGAAAAAAATCCCCCATGAAGTGATTGGTTCCCCTATCTCCTTCCTCCACCTCTCTCTTTCGAAAATCTGATGATTTCAAAAGGAAAAGATGGATTCTTCAGCTTTTCTTTGTCCCCTCTCCCCCCCCCAACACTGCCTCCACAGCCCCAAAAGGGTCTCCTTCCTCAATGACAGGATCTCCACATCCTTGAACCCCTTCACATTTTGGTAAATCTTCTGCATCCGAAATGCCGAGATCCTTGGGGTCTCACCTGAAGCTTGTGACCCATGCATACCCAGGGGCCCAAGCTCAGCTTCAGGGAAGGACCCTTGAGTTCCCTCCCTTTCCCTGTCACCTGATCCCGGAAGGTGTCACTGAAATCCTTGTAGGCTATGGAAGTGTTGTCATGAGGTCCAGGGAGAACACCTGGTCAACAGAGACCTCCATGCCCACTTCAGACTCCAGTCTACAGAACTGTAAGGCAACAAGTTTGCATTATTTCAACTGCTAAGTTTATGGTGATTTGTTACAGCAGCATTTAGAAGCTAATACAGCTTCTAGCAGCCCAGACCGGGAAGGAGACCACAGGAAGGCATGTGATCCCAACCACCTCCTGGGAGTGAGGGTAGAAAGGAGGCATGACATGGGGTAGAGGAAAGCATTGGAGAGAAGGCAGGGATGGAGCAATTAGGCAAAAGGACATGAGTACTGATAGGCAAACCCTGGGGCTGGACCCAGGGAGAGTTAGTGGCATCTCCCAGGAGAAAGTGGAGAAGGCAGGGTCCTGGCAACTCACCCAGATTCACCTGTTCCACCACAAACTCACAATGGGAGCTATAGAAGGTGCTAAGGCAGTGGCACTTGAGGCCATCCCATTTACCCCCATGCTGGCACCTGATATCCTGGAGCTCACAGTGGGGCCCAGAGAACCCCAAGGGCAAGTGGCAGAGGCCTTGCATCCAGGTGCCACCATTGTCACAGCACAAGAAAAAAAAAAGGAAGTTCAGGATAGGGCTTGCCCTTGGTGACACAGAAATTTATCAGAAGAGAGAGAAGAGGAAACAGGGAAGAAGGAGGCCCAACCTGGGGCAGTGGTCCAAGTGAGTGGTGGTCGAAGTTGTCCTGGATGATGTAAGGATGACAGCACTCTGAGAGGTGACCGCTGGTGTGTCTGGAGTCTTGATCATGGCTGGGGTGGAGCAAGTCAACTTGATTGAAGTCAACATCGCAGTTGGAAAGCTGCTGCTTGGTTTTGTGGTCAGTGGGAGGCTAGTGAATCCAGGCATATGTGGGATGGTTACAGAATTGGTGCCCATCCAGTTTCCACTGGTGGGTCTTTGAGTGCTTGTCAAAACTGTGCGACTGGGGACAGTCCCAGTGCTGACAGAACTAGGAGCATCTGTTACGCTGTTGGTAGGATGAGTTTCCAGAACAGTAGAAGTGTCCATATGCATAGGAAACATGGTTGTCATACTGGTGAAACTAGGAGGTGGCCATCTCAGCAGTGGAAGTAAACACTGACATTGGGATGGTGGGCAGAGAAGAAACTTCACTACTTGGACCCATTCCCACAAATGAAGTAGTGGGAGAGGCAGGTGCTATGGTAACGGATACAGATTCTGGACATGGGGCAGCAGAAGAAATAAAACAGCGTGGTGGTTGTTTCAGTAACAAAGGTCTTCAGAGAAGATGTGGCTGGAGATGTTCTTACAGTTTCAGATGAAAAAGGAGCATGGAAAGCAGTAGCAAAAGAGCCTATCTTTTCCACACTAGAGAGAAGTGAGGATGTAGAAAGAGAGTTAGGGGTGGTAGTAAGCATTGAATTTGCACTAGTGGAGGATAGAGAAGAGGACATTATTGTTGTGGATATTGAAGAAGAGAGAACAGTACAAAGAGAAGTAGTTAGTGCATTTGTAGATGTACTCAGAAAGATGATGTTGGAGAAACACAAGAAGTCCTGGGTGGTATTGTGGGGTTGGGTGTTGTTACCAACATTGTAGTCACAGTCATGGCTGTTTCTGGGGTAGAGGGAGTGGGCAGAGTGGCTGTGATGGAGGTAGACATTGAAGTGTTGGTGGGAGTGGTGATGTCAGTTGTGGCTGTGGTGACCACAGGGGTGGATGCAGCATTGGTACTAAGCAGTGTAGTAATCAAGGTGGATGAAAGGGTTTGCGGTCAAGGTGGAGACTGATTCTGTGGTTGGGGCAGGTGGAGAAGACAGACGCATCCTCATGGCCAATGTCAAGGTATTGTGGCGACTGGAAGAGAAGAGGCTGGCGTTGGAGAATTGACTGTATTCCCAGGTGTAGTTAAGGATGGAATTGTGGGAGGAGAAGTCATCTCTGTCATGAGACACTGGGGAAATGTCTTTTGTAGGAATAAGTGTAGTTTTCCGGTGGGGGGTATGGTATGAGAAGGGGCAACGGCCATCTTGCCTGGGCAGGTAGCAGCTGCCGTGGAGGAGTGTGGTTCTGTGGCTGTGAAAGTTGTGTAAATACTAGTGGTGGTGGGTTCCAGAGTGGTTTCGGAGGCAGCAGATGTGGCGGAAACCATTGTGTTTGTTGGAGTGATGGATGATGGGGTTGGAGAAATCGAAGTAATTCCTGCTGTGAGAGTTTCTCTAGAGCTGTCACTCCCCAGAATAAGCTTTGTTTTCATCGAACTCATTGTTTTCAAAGTAATTGTTGGTGCACTGAGCGTGGCCGTGGCTTCGGTAGGAGCAGATGTACTTCGTGTTGTAGGTGTTGTTAATGTATTTGTTGATGTGGGATCGTGAGTGGGGGCGGTTGCTGTTTTGAATGTACGGGCGGTGGGAGGAAACGAAACTGTGGTTGTGATCGAGAAATTGGTGATGGGCGAAGAGTTGTTATTGGTTACGGTTGCTGAGATGTTTGGGGCAGTTAGAGAAGGGGTAATAGAGGTGGAAGTGATTACTGGGCTAAGAGACCTGGGTGTGTGACTGCTTGCTGGGGTCAGGCGACATGTTTTCTATCTCCTATTCTGTTTTGCCCACTAGGGTAATTAGTTTACAAGCCTGAATCCCTCCCTAAGAGTGAGGGTCAGAGATCTCATCATGCTGGGGTGAGTGGCAGAGAGACTCCTACAGCCACGGCCTTTGAAAGCAGGAAGTGCCCAGACCCCCTGCGCACTCACCATTGGCCTCCTCCTCACCTTGGACCCAGAACATCTTTGTTCTGAGAGCTGGGATTTCATTTCCCAGCCTAGCTGGGTGTGACAGGGAGGTGGGAAGAAGGGATTTTGAAGATTCCTGGGTTGGAGCCCTTAGAGCCCGGAGGCGGCCCTGGAGGTAAGTGAGGGTGGTCCACGGGCCTCTAGGATGGGAAGGTGCAGGATTGGGGGTCAGGAACAGACAGCAGGAGAAAGAGGGAAGGGAAATACAGGGGAACTGTGGAATTCCAAAGGGACAAGAAAGAGAAAGCCCTGAACTCATGCCGGGTGGTACACACCCAACCTTTGGGAGCCATCAGGATCTCCCAGCCTGGCCTTGCCAATGACAACTGTACCCAGAAACATGGGCTGGGTGGGGGCAGGGAGAGGTAGAGGCAGAGCTGTAGGAGGGAACTGGGACCAAAGGCAGAGATGCCCGAGAAGGAGGAGAGAACCCCAGGGGCAGAAGTGGAGCTGTCGTGGAGAGAGTGCCCCGGGAAGTAAAGGAAGAGTCCAGAGTGGACCAGAGCACTGGGGCTGATGGGGGGAGGGACAGAAGAGAAGTGAGGGCTCAGAACACCAAATCAAAGGGAAGAACGCTCCTCTGGAGAGAGGTTATGCCCACCCTCCCAATGCACGCACCAACACTTACAACCTGCTTGGTCCTGGGGGGAGAACAGCACCAGATGAACCCAGCTTCCTTTCTCCTTAAGGACTCCCACACTGAAAGCTCTGAGGAATCCCTCCTCTGTCTCCCCTGAGGCCTCAGAGCCACTTCCCCACACACCCCTGCCCTAGAACATCAGGAGGGTCTCTGCAGCCCTTTTCCCACCGGCCCCCTCCCCTCTGGCCCCCGTGGAGGCCCCAAGCATCCAGAGGAAGCCAAGGACCCTGGGCAGCCTCATGGGCCTCGGGCAGCGGGTACAGCAGGCGCCAACACCGGGGACAGCTACAGGAGGCAGCCGCTGTGTACACAGCAGCACCCAGCCAGAATGGCAAGGTGTGGCTCTCTGCCCCGCTAGACGAGGGGGCTATGCACAGGTTCACCTTTGCACCGCCTGCTGTACTTCTTCTCTCCCACCCTTCTCCAGGTAGGAGACTCCACTGCTGACTCCACTGCTGTGGGAAGGACACCAAGAAGGGAGGACTAGCCCAGGAGGTGTCAGGGAGAGCTGCTGGTGGCCCGCTCAGAGGAGGGGGATCCTGCCTAGAACACTGCCTTTCCCCTCTCCTGCCCCCCACCAAGAACCAGCAAAACTGGACAGAGACTACACTACTGGAGTCTGGGGCTGGCTCTCACAGCCCCTCCTTAGTTTCGGTCCTAGCTCCAGGAGAGGGAGCTGAAAATTTGTTCTCCTCACACCCTCTGCCCCCTTGTGCTTCCCTCCATCCTCCCTTTAGCGTGACTTGGGCTGAGACCCCATAATCAAAGCCATGGGAGCAATGCAAAATTCAATTGGAGGTCATTTTCATATCTGAGGCTGTGGGCCACGTCCCAGAAAAGTTAATACAGACGGCCAGTGGCAGTAATCAAACAAAAGGATGTTTTGAGGGGCACCTGGGTGGCTCAGTGGGTTAAAGCCTCTGCCTTTGGCTCAGGTCATGATCTCGGGGTCCTGGGATAGAGCCCCGCGTCAGGCTCTCTGCTCAGCAGGGAGCCTGCTTTCTCCTCTCTGCCTGCCTCTCTGCCTACTTGTGATCTCTGACTGTCAAATAAATACATAAAATTTTTTTTTTAAAAAAAGGCTGTTTTGACACAGCAGATTAGCAGCTATTAGGAAGTTTGAATCCCTTTGGTGCTGGGAAAAGTGTGAAGATCAAACACTCTCACACAGCTGCGGGGAGGGTAAGTGTGTTGGGCTGTTCCAAAAAGGCAATTTGGTGACATCTATTAAAATTTTAAATGCATGCTCAAGGACCTAGGAATTTCACCGGTCCATCTCTGTGTTCGAGAAGTACTTCACAGAGACATTCACAGGATGTTCATAGCCATCCAGCTTATTGTGATTCCAACAGAAATTGGAAACAGCCCAAATATCCCTCAATAGGAATCTAAAAATGTCTAGGGAGTAGTCACACTATTGACTACCATGCTTGAATCAAAAGAATAGCATCGGGGCGCCTGGGTGGCTCCGTGGGTTAAGCCTCTACCTTCGGCTCAGGTCATGATCCCAGGGTCCTGGGATGGAGCCTCATGTCGGCCTCTCTGCTTGATGGGGAGCCTGCTTCCTCCTCTCTCTCTGCCTGCCTCTCTGCCTACTTGTGATCTCTCTCTCTGTGTCAAAGTAAATAAATAAAATCTTTAAAAAAAAAAAAGTACCATAAAGGAAAGACTCTCAGAATGGCTTATTCAGTGAAACCAATAGACACAGTTTTGTTAAAACAGTTTTGTTAAAATACACACGTATGTATTTCCTGTGTGTTCCTATGAATACACACACAGACACAAACACACAGGTAAGTGCATTCAAAATTTGAAGGGAAAAAAAAAAAAACAGCTCACCTACACCAGTAACAAGGGTAAGATTAATTCAGAGAAACAAGAAGGAGCTAGGGTTCAGAATGATAATCAGGGAACATTAGCTCTATCTGTAGTTTTTCCTTTTTGCTTTGACAAAGATTCTCTCCTTGACCGAACTCCGACCAGGCTGCCCTGAGCCCTCTTCCCAACTAACCTTCATCTGTGGCCTACAAAGACTTGAACAATCACTAACACAGTTCTCACAGCTCAAGGCCCCACCCCAGGTTGACCCCAGCCTCCCTTAAAGTGCCTGCCTGAGAGAACTCAAGGCCACCGAAAGGATTTACTATCTGTCCCAGTGAATACCCAAAGATAGAGCTTCTGTCTCCCAGCCTTTGGGGAAGGGCAGAAGCCCAACTTTGATAAGCACCCGTTAGCAAACCCAGATGGGTTTCACATGGACCACATCCCCTCCCCTTCCTGTAACTGTTCACTCCCCCAGTCCCCTGAGCCCCACTCCCTTCCAACCCTCTCCCTCGCTCTCCCTTAAATCACCCAGTGACCTCTGTGAAAACCAGAGTTCAGTTCGTGCTGGACTCTTACCTGTTGCAACAGTATGTTACTGATTAAAATGTGTCCTTAACACTTTAACTAGGGTATGACTTTGTTTATCCTTGACAACTTTTGAAGCTAATGTAAAAGTAATTGAGAAGAGGATTCTGGGGGCAGCTGGGTGGCTCATTTGGTTAAGCCTCCAACTTGATTTTTACTCAGGTCGTGATCTTGTGGTCCCAGGATCAAGCCCTGAATCTGGTGCCACTCAGTAGGGAGTCTGCTTAAGATTTTCTCTCTCTCCCTCTCCCTCCCACCCATGCTCTGTCCTGTCTAAAATCAATCAATCAATCAATCAATCCTTGAGGAGGAGGAGGAGAAGGAAGAGAAGGAGGAGGGAGAGAAGGAGAGGAAGTGGAGGAGGAGGAGGAGGAAGATTCTGGAGAGATAGTGGAGGAGGAACCAGGAATCCAGCTCCTCACCTAGACTATAACTGCAACTGCTCTAGCAAAATCTATCTGATGTAACATACTTCGATCCCTGATTATAGTTTCTGATCACAAAGGTTCAAACAAAGAGGCAAACAGCCGTTCTTACAAGCCGTTCCCCCTCCATTTGAAATGAATTCCAGGAGATTTAAAAGGCTGAGCTCTTTTTTCCTCCCCTTCGGTGTTTGCTTTTCCCCCTTTGAGAGTTGCATTTTAAAGACTAGGACGTTCGAACATGACTGTATATGTGGGAAATTTTGGAAAGTGACAAAGCATGCTGAGGGAAAGGATTAGAACAAACCTAAGAAGACCTTAGTTTACACCTTGTGCCCATATTCAGCACAGAGACATCCTACAATAGCCAACAAAAACAATAACTGAAAATTGTGGGGAAGGAGGAGAATCTGAGTTCCAGAATTACCACATTATTAGACTCAAATGTTCTGTGTCTAAAAAACAACAATAAGAAATAAAACAACAACAACAAAAAACAAACAAACAAACAACAACCACACAAGGCATACAAAGGAACAGGAAAGTATGGTCCATTCAAAGAAAAAAGAATTAAATAGAAACATCCCTGAGGAAGACCTAATAGAAGATATACTGGACAAAGATTTTAAAACAACTGGCTTAAGGATATTCAAAGAACAAAAGGAAGATATGGAGAGAGTAAAAAAATGATGCATGAGCAAAATGAAAAAAATCAATAAAGAAATGGAAAAACGAAAAAGAAATCGAAAAGGAAGACCTGTAAAGCACAACAACTGAAATGAGAAATCCATTAGAGGGATTCAAAGGCATACCTGAGCAGGCCGAAGAAAGAACCGACAAACCTGAAGACAGGACCATGGATTATTAAATCGGTCAAATGGGAAGAAAGACTGGGAAAAAAGATTGAAGAAAAGTGGATGGTGAGGCTGGCTGCCCAGGAATGTGAACATACACATGGGGTACTGTGGGCTGCTGCCCCAGAAAGTGGCGTCTACCATGGAAGCCCCATACAGCCAAGAAATGGATTTCATATGTGACTTCAGACCAGAGGGGACATCAGCTCCAGCCCACGTTGACACATTGGGGGGGTGCTTCTGTTGCAGGTGAACTGAAGCGTGCAGGGGGCCCAGAGAGCTTGGAGGCAGAGGTAGATGTGAGAAGGACTAGAGTCCAGGGGGGAATATTTGAAGGCAGAAGTCAGAGTGCCACTCGCCACAACTGGGAGTTTCTCTTTATAGAAAAGAATACAAAATTATGAATCTAAAATTAGATATGACAATCCCTAAGGCCTTGGAGTCTTTGAGAGGGGAACCCCATGAACTCTCCTCTTTTTGGGAGGCCCAAGACTCAGGAGGTTTCGGGGAGGGGGGCTGCAAAGTGAAAAGGCAGTTGGCAAAATCGCCTATGCCAGGCCCTCTGGGAGCTCCCTGAGACTCTGTGCCTCTCACATCTCGTGGGGGAACACATCTCTGGGATCCTCCACTTTGACCAGTTGCAAAATAGTAAAGAGTTTGTTTTTGGAAAGATTTGTTCTTGTTTTTCAGAAGAATCTCCTTGGGGCTAGAGCTATGTGGTCAAGCACCAGTGTTGGCCAAGATTCTGGAAACAAAGCATGAAAAGCCAGTTACCATGCCAAGGATACAGATGAGAATGGACCCCTGTTGTAAGGGGTCACCAGGCTCCTGGGGAGACGGATCCCAATCCAACATCATGTTCCCTGATTCCTCCCCATCCCCCCCCTTTCAATTTCTTCTCCCTCTCCCGCACAAACTTGTTTCTACTGCACCCAATAGGCTTCTCCTACCTTCTGTTCTTGGTTTGGTCTTGGTCTTGGTCTGGTCTTGGTCTTCTGAACTGTTTCCCACACTAGGACGGCCCTGTCTTCCTCCCATTCTCTTTCTCTCAACCTGTAAAAATCCTACCCATTCTTTTTTTTTTTAAGATTTTTATTTATTTATTTGACACAGAGATCACAAGTAGGCAGAGAGGCAGGCAGAGAGAGAGGAGGAAGCAGGCTCCCTGCTGAGCAGAGAGCCCGATGCGTGGCTCAATCCCAGGACACTGAGATCATGACCTGAGCCGAAGGCAGAGGCTTAGCCCACTGAGCCACCCAGGCGCCCCAATCCTACCCATTCTTAATGGCTTTGCTTCTTTCCTCCGACAGGAAGCCATATGTGATCACTAAGCGACCTCTCCCACTCTTAAAATGTCCCGGTATTTACTGCTGACATCTCTCCCATGGCACTCAGTTATCATTTGGTGGCAGGTATTAGTCATTTGAATGCTTGCCCAGAAGGGGAGGGGAAGATGACACTGGTGCACCCTGAGCTGAGGCAGTGGCCACTTTCTCCCTGAGCTAGCAGAACCCCACCTGACTAACAGAGGAGATGGTCGATCTAAAACAGCCAGAGTCCTCTTGTTGCTTTGCGGGGAAGCCTCATCCCCATGCCAGGCTCCAGCCTGCATGAGAAAGCTGGAAAGGAAGGAACACAGCAGCAAGCACCTTAGCCCCCTGTACCACTGTGCGACACTGGAGCTGGGAAACCTACACTCGAGACCCAGAGATGGCTCCAGAAATGAATATAGTCCCAGGCAGAGTTTGAGATGAACAAGAAGTCTGCTGGGGAGTGGGGAGACTGGGGGCTGAGGATGGTGAGGTGAGGCCCATCATCAGTGACACCCACCATTTGACCTCTTCCCACCACCCACACCTCACCCCCCAGGCCAAGTGACATTAAAGTGTAGTTCATGGAAGGACAGTGAGGGCTACTGGTCTCTCTCCAAGAGTCCGCTATTGTCACAGATACTCGGGGGGGAAACATCAACCCAGGAAAATACAGGCTGGGACTGTCCTTCAAAAGCCAAGGTTTAAGGACAAAGTGCAAAGATAAGACCAAGGGCAGGTCACCCCTTTGCGGCTCATGAGTGAGTCAAGTTAGCTGGAAAGGTTAGGAGGAGCGTGCTCACCGTCCCCTCCACTGTGTCATAATCTGAATCGTGGTAGCAATTATCATGGATGGTGTCAGGTAGTAGGAGTAAAGGCGCTGACTAGAGTTGTCTCTGAAGTTATGATAAGTTGGCGGGGGCGGGGGAGGGAGCAGACATCAACTTGCATGATGGCAGATGAAAACCTGATTCTTGGTTTTACAAGTGGGAGCCAGTGATGGTTGTCCTATTAATGAGGAGAGATAAGGCAATGCTGAACTAAACAATCTTTAAGACTCGGTGGCTTACCACAGCAGACCTTTTTTTCCCACTCATCTACCTGCCCATCCCAACATCTGTGCTGTTCATTCAGGGACCCAGGCTGATGGAGCAGCTCCTGTGTGAGACACTGCCAGCCTCACAGTGGTGGGAAAGCACAGATGGCAAAACCATGAGCTGCCTCTTAGAGCTTCTTTCCAGACATGTTGCATACCTTCCACCCTAAAGCAAGTTGCTTGGG